ATCATTATCTTTTCTCTTTGTTTCCCCCTACACACATACATATTGAATTATCATTTGTTATTTTCCCAATAGGAAAAAAGTACTTAGGACTTTTTATAAGAACAAACCCTGACAGATGAAGGCAGGTTGCTTTTAGAACTGAAGGAAATACAAACATGAAAGATGGGATGGCCTAGAAAAATACTGACTAGAATAAGCCAGACACAGAAAGAAATGCACTGCATGAGTCCACTGACGTGGAGCATCTAGAAGAGTTACACTGATGGAGTGAGTCTGGGAATGGTGGTTGCTAGGAGCTGAAGGAATTAGGGGATGAAGTTTCAGTTAAAGGAGGTGAATGAGCCCCAGGGACCTAAGTCAAGAGTATTGCACTATATACCTAAAAACATGTTAAGAGGGTGGATCTCAGGTTAAGTGCTCTTATCACAATAAAAAAAAAAAAATCAATAAAATGCAATGGAGGGTTTAATGCATCCAGGACAGGACAGGACCTGAGGCTGGGCCTAAGTTTTTATTATTAAAATTAACAAAGTCATTATATTATCATAAATAAAAAATACTTGACAAATGAAGCCACTCAGATGGTCAATAAACACATGAAAATAGGCTCAATGTCTTTAATCATTAGAGAGAAGCAAATTAAAATCACAGAATTCCATTCACAAACACTAGATGGCTAAAATCAAAAAGATGAAAAAGAATAAATATGGTTGAGCCTATGGAGCATTGCAACAGTGCTGACAGGAATGAAAAATGGTACCACCACGTTAAAAAACCAATGTGCCAATTTTTAAAAAGTTAAACATATATGAACTCTACAACCTAGAAACTCCATTCCTCACTACCTGCCAAAGGTAAATTAAAACATGTTCACAGAACATCTGCACGAGAATGGCTAACATGCCGTTGTTTATAATAGTCAAAAAACTGCAGACAAGCCAAAGGGCAGCTGATTCCCATCAGTGCATACCCACTTTGCGGTACATTTACATAGTCAATCTACTGACCAACAGAGACACTACCAATGCATGAACCAATCTCAAAAATGGGCTCAAGAAAAAACAAGACACAAAGTTCTATATACTATATGATTTATTTTGTATGAGATCCAGTAACAGAGAAAATAATTTATAGTGATACAAACCGGGAAGTTGTTGCTTAGGGATAAGAACCTGTCTGGCAATGACCCCTAGGTCTTCTGGACTATGGCAACATGTTGAGAGGGTGGATGATGACAGGCTGTGACTAAGTCTCAAACAAGACCCACGTAATTTAACACCCACGATCTACAAATCTGTTGTATGATACTCATACCTCAAAATTACACTGTTTATCATATATCATAATGATACACTATATATAATTTTTTATTATATACTTTAAAAAAAGGACATAGGAACTAACTGAAGAAGTTCCAATTAGCCAAGGGCAAGATAACTTAACACTGGACAGAATAATATCTGCAGCTGTCTAAAACCCATCTGACATGTAATGCCAAGAAAAAGATTTACCTTCCCAGGCTGAGAACACTGAGGGCCTACAGGATTCAGGCCCTCTCAGGGCCAAAAAAAAAAAAGGTAAGGGCAGATATAATGGTACTCATTCCCTGAATCTGTCACTGTTTAACTTTCCACTGTGAATGAAAGTGCTCCATGTTCTCTCTCCTCTGAGGGCCAGATCTAGCCCTGAATATCCAGTGGCATCTGAAGCAAAGTGACAAGAGGTCTGCTGTCAAAGGCCTTGTCCCTCCTGGGCCTGAGGGAGGGAGAGAAGGTCCTACCATTGCTGTTTCCGTCAGCTCTATCCCCACGTAAGCCTGTTCCTCTTGTCCGGCCTATGTCAGCCTGTCTTCCTTCCTTCCACTCCAAATGTATAAATGTTTCACTTTGTCTCCAATTGGAGAAGACTCTTTAAAAATGCATGTTTTGTTGCACAATTACAGGACTTTGCATTGCAGATATGGATGTTAAAATAATAAACACATAAGAGAATACAAGTGGTGGTCCACAAACTATGTGTTGGCTCTTTAAATCTGCATATTTTTTTCCTTTCACTGTGAAGCCCTTCTGTTAAAAATACAATTAAGAGGAATTATGTTTAGTCACCTGTATTAAATTAGTTTAACGGTTAGGACTTGGATTTAATGAGATTTATTCCAAGGATTTAATTCCCACATGAGGCAGTTATTTTCATTCATTTCCCTATTGGAGACTCTACCCCTACCCAAGCCAGCCATGTCCCACAGTGTAGAGTGTGACCCACAGAAAACACCTCATTACAACAAGAAAAATCAATGAAAAGTACACTGTTTTATTGAATATCATATGTGGACAAACAGTTGTTAGATAAATTACATAAGTCTTCTTGGAAGAGTTCTGAAAGTTTACTTAAAAAATGTGCTTAAAAACAACAGGTGTGGGTGCTTTGAAATTAATCATGGTATCCACTCCCTAAATCCAGTATTGTTTTACATTCAATTGTGAATGAAAGTGTTCATGTTAGCTTTCCTATTAGTATTGGGCCCGATCCAATAAAAATAATCAATATGGAAATCTATAGTTTTTCACAAGCACACTAGATGGTTTTTATGGGTCAAGAGACAGGTGGGAAGTACTCGATTAAGATCCTTCTGCGGTTCTGTTTGTGATTATGCTCATGAGCCATGCTGACCCTTAGAGAAACACTCCACACAGGACTGTTTGCATCAAGCAGGCTACAGGCATGGGACAAGCAATACCCACTAACTGGCCCCAGCACTCCACAACACACACTAGAGTGTTTTCCTACATTGTCCTTGATGGGTCTTGGAGAATACTGCTAGATGCACTTACAGTTATAAAATAAAGGAGAAAAGACCATTAGGAATTTAAATTGTCTCCAAGGCTGTCACTATTACATATTTTTTGATAATGCATCTAGTCCCCAGACATCCATATTAGCATGTCTAATCTCAAAGCAAACATGCCTTCTTCCTAGTAAGCAACTGGCTGCTTTCAAAATGCGGCTCCAACATTAGGGACCCGATGTTAAACATTTTGATAAATAAAGAAAATAAATAAAGAATGAAAAATACATCATTTCCAAATACATATATATATATATATATTTTTTATGGATACACCACATTTTGTTTATTCATTCAACTGATGGGCATTTGCATTATTTTCACATTTTGGCAATTATGCATGTTTATGTACAAGTATTGCAGGGACATGGGTTTTAATTTCTCTCAAATATACGTAGGAGTAGAATTTCTGGGTCAAATGGTTACTCTACGTTTAGCATGTTGAGGAACTGCCAAGCCGCTGTCTAAAGTGACTGCACCATTTTATATTCCCACCAAACTGTAGGAGAGTTCTTGTGACTCCACTTCCTTACCGACTCTAGTTCTTTTTCTTTTTTTTTTTTAATTTTTTTGTAGTTGTAGATGGACAGAATGTCTTTATTTTATATGTTTATTTTTTTTTTTTTTTTGATGTGGTGCTAAGGATTGAACCCAGTGCTTCACACATGCTAGGCAAGTGCTCTGCCACTGAGCTACAGCCCCAGTCCCTGACTCCAGTTCTTGTGGGTCTTTTTAGGTTGTAGGTGTCCAGGTAGATGTGAAGTAGTATCTCATTGTGGTCTTTTTTTTTTTTTTAATTTTTTATTGTTAGTTGTTCAAAACATTACAAATTTCTTGACATAGATGCCCTTCAATAGACGAATGGATAAAAAAAAATGTGGCATTTATACACAATGGAGTATTACTCTGCATTAAAAAATGACAAAATCATAGAATTTGCAGGGAAATGGATGGCATTAGAGCAGATTATGCTAAGTGAAGCTAGCCAATCCCTAAAAAACAAATGCCAAATGTCTTCTTTGATATAAGGAGAGTAACTAAGATCAGAGTAGGGACAAAGAGCAGGAGAAGAAGATTAACATTTAACAGGGATGAGAGATGGGAGGGAAAGGGAGAGAGAAGGGAAATTGCATGGAAATGGAAGGAGACCCTCAGGGTTATACAGTGGAGGGGGTAGAGAGAGAGGAGGGGAGGGGAAGGGAGAGGTGGGGAGGGGGGAGGGGGGAGGATGGGAAAGGCAGCAGAGCACAACAGACACTAATATGGCAATATGTAAATCAATGGATGTGTAACTGATGTGATTCTGCAATCTGTGTATGGGGTGAAGGTGGGAGTTCATAACCCACTTGAATCAAAATACATATATTTAATGCATACCTAGAGTATGTTGCATCATATTTGTTTTTTTGCCACAAATAGGTGACTTCTCAAACTATAAACATTTTGATATAACATATGATAGAGATGGAACAACATTCATAACTAGTCTACTTATATCTACACTATAAATCCTTGTGTTTGCCAATGAGTTCAACTACAAACACGTTAGCAATGAACTAGATTTAAAACCTGCTTCCATCAAACATATTCTCTCATCTAAAAATAACTCACCCATGCAAAAATCAGGAAACCAGACAGTGCAGATAGCAAATCATTAAGAAATAAACTATCTCCTAAAATATATATCCATGCTTAACTTAGAAGTAATTAAGTTAGAGCAAATTATATTGGGCTTTACTTCACACTAATATAAAATCTCACATCTTCTACAACAGAGAATATATTTCTTTTATGAGATCAGTTTTTATTCATTTAAAGTATTCAAATAACAACTCAAATTGCCATTTGAAGTTTTATTTTAGCCAATGTTCAAAGTCCTCACAAATATCGATATTTGATAATGCTACTTAATGAGGCTTTGAAGTAGTAGAATGAGGGTTTTTAAAATAAGAATAGATGGATGTAATTCTACTAACAGCTTCCATTGAAATAAGAAATAATACAACTTGGTTAAGCTGCTCACTCACTCTCATTAAGGTGATTTTCTGTTAGGGTCCACAAAAAAAATTAATAGTGTCCATTTGCTAAGAAGATAATAAAACAAAGACGAGCAGAAATTAGCGGTGCCATGGACACTGGCTAAATGAAAGCATACCTTTCTCTCTCTCCTCCGGTGATATCATACAAGCGGTTGGCACCTCCATCAGCACAGGCTCTTAAAAGAGCTTCAAATAAAAAGAACACAAATCATTTCAATACAGGAAGCACAGAGCAATGTCGTTCAAATGACAAACATTAAAAAGCAGATACTGGGAAGCACACATAGTCACTCTAACCCCGTTGGATCATTTCACGCAAGCTAGTGATACCGTGGGTGCTAAAAGTGATCCTACCCCGCAGTCGACAAGCAAGACAGGATCACCCACAGACCACGTTTAATTCCTTTTCACATCTTTTTCACGCTCTCTGATTCAGTGCAGGAGGAGCTGGTATATGGGGCCAGAGTGCCTCTAATATTTCTTGAAACTCGTTTTTCCTCCTTGGTAACAGGAGGTAGGCCTCAGGCTCAATGGCAGGCAACAGGACACAGCTATTATATTTCCCCCTTTTATAGATTTTTACAAGTACTCTCTCTTTATGGCCAGTATTATGGGATTCCATTTTTTATTGTGACTTTAAAGTTTCCTTTTAAAAATAAATCATCAACATAACAAGTTTATTTTAAAATATAAATAAAAAAAATAATGTAGAAGCCATGTTGAACAACACACAAAACTGAGTGAGACCTGGGAACTGCTGAGGGACTCCCTTTCCACCTGGGGCCTTCATCTCTTTCCTACAGCTTCCCTGGCATTTGCTGGGGCTGATCAATCACTCCTTGGAGTTCTCCTGGGGCATGGAATGCTGGCTTCATTGCTGGTGCTTCCTCTCTCATTTCTATTTTTCACAGAAACATCCCCTATCTTACCATCAGCTCCGGTTGTCACTCTGAAGCATCAAACTAACACACACTTGGCTAAAGTCGTAAGATGATGTGATGGGGTCTGCACACTGAGCTTCTGCTTCCAATCAGTACAGAAAAATAGATGGCCAGCTGGCTCAAGTCCACTCCAAGAACCAACTACAATGTGAGAAACTAACTTCCTTTGAAATTAAAATTAATGACACATGTAACTGAAATTGGGACAGGAGAAAACAAATGGGTGTGGTCTCTTATACATTTGCGTATTCCTGGTGTGTCTAAAACAAAAAAATCCTGATGAGTACAGTATCTAAAAAAGGCCAGTGACACATGATTTGTTTTAGGAAATACAAGGTTGTAGGTAGGAGTGAAGTACCATTGAAATAAATAAAAATTCAGTTTCCACAGTGGAGATTTTCCCCAAAATTAACCTACCCACCAGGGTGATGTGTCTCAGGAAACTAAAAAAACAAAAGGTGAAATTACCCCCATCTTTCATCAGGAAACCTAATCACCTCCTGCAACCACAGATCTGTATACCCCATATGATGTTAAAGCAGGTGTAGGGCAGCTCTCTTGGAAATAAATATCTTTTATTTGGCTGCAAAGTTAGTTATTTGAAACTTGCTCTTGAATAAGAGACTAGCTAAATCCAATACTGTTAATTAGTAGTAATTTTGAGTATATTAAAGTATGGGCGTCTAATTTCCATTGGAACAACAGGCTCTGATGGTTCTAATTGTACTCCTGTACCTAATCTGTCTTCTCTCCGGGGCTACATTTAGGATCTTCCCTTTGTCTTTGGTGTGCCGATTTCATTATGCCTCTTACTTGGAATTAACTGTGTTTCCTAAATCTGAGGATTTATTTCCTTCTTGTATTCTGGAAAATTCTAGACATTTTAACTTGATGAGTTCCTATCTTCGGCTCTCTGTTCCCATCTACCTCCAGGTGCTCCAATGAGATGCACTTTTACACAGTCTCACTCTACCCTTCATGTTTCTTAAACGGTTCATTCCTTTCTTCTCATCTTTCTGCATGTGTGGGTATCTTCTCAAATCTTTCAGGTTATAAAGTCTTTCTTCATTATATTTAATCACCCGTTTAAAACATTCAAATGTATATGCTTATTAATCCTTTTAAAAGTTTTGTTTGGTTCTCTTTTAATCTCAAGGATTTTTCAGGTAATCTGCTGTTGATGTTTTCAATTTCCTCATTTATTGTCTTTTTACAAAATAGTCTTTTGCAAGGGGGCATAGTGGTGCACACCTGTAACCTCAGCGACTCAGGTGGCTGAAGCAGGAGGATCACAAGTTCAAAGCAACTTAGCAAGGCCCTAAACAACTTAGAGAGACCCTGTCTCTAAATAAAATATTTAAAAAGGGCCAGGGATGTGACTTAGTGGTGAAGTGCCCCTGGGTTCAATCCCTGGTACTAAAATAAATAGATAGATACACATGGACTCTTTTGCTAGTGGTTTCAGATCAAAATTTTTCTTTTCCTTTTTTTTTTTTTTTTTTTTGTACTAAGTATTGAGCCAAACCCAGGGGCATTTAATCACTGACCCACCTCCCCAGTCCTTTCTATTTTTTATTTTATTTTGAGACAGGATCTTTCTTAGTTGCTCAATAAGTTACTGAAGCTGGCTTTGAACTTGGGATCCTCCTGCTTCAGCCTCCCAAGCCACTGGGGTTACAGGAGTGCAACACCGTGCCTGGCTCAAATTCACTTTTTAATGGACTCTCTTTTTATTTTATTTATTTACTTTTTATTAGTGCCCAATAATAAAACAAAATAGTGGGGTTCACAGTGACATATTCATATATGCACAAAATAGTCTGCTCCATTTCACTCCCCAGTACTTCCTTTTTTTCCTCCCTCCGTCCCTTCCTGATCCACTTCTTCTAAAACTTTACTTTTTATCCTGAGGCACAGAAGTGGGTCCAGGAATGTCTAAAATTTGATGGGGTGTTAAGGGATCTCCTCATCTGCAACAGACCAAAGCCTTGCCCCCTCCCACACAGCTGTTTAAATCCAAGCCCCAACATCACAGGACAGCCAATGACTGGGACACCAGAGTCTTCAGAAGAAAGAAACCACTCTTTTGAGGTACTTCTTCATTTTATGGCACTTATAAAATCATGGTACCTTTTTACAAATTTAGATATATATTTAAGAATGTTTAAATATATATCTAAATTTGTAAAATTCACTTGCAAATTTTGAGATGTTTAAACAATAGTAGGAAAATTAAAAGATAAATAACTGACCACACTGACAGAAATTAAAGCCTCACTTTATTTTTCCACAAATGCTTGATATGTAAGACTATTTCCTGTGTTCTATGTTATGGCAAAAATAAAATAGAGGCACAATAGGAAAAGCACATATTCACTTGTGTTCAAGTTTTCTCTTCTGTAAATGAGAGTAAAATTAACTGTGAAAGAGGGTTATTAAACAAATAATGATTTAATAATTATATAGTGCTCATCCCAATACTGGAGCACAATAAGCATTCAGGAAACATCATTCTGCTTTCCTTCAGTGAAAATAAAATCTAAAAGACTGTGTTCTTTGAGAAGAAAATTGTAGGCTGCCCAAAAAATGCCAGAAAACAAGAGTTTTTAAAAAGACAACCAAGAAGGATGTATCACTTTACTAATTAGCCACACACTTTATAACTCATGACACTAGAGTTCAAATTATGCCATAAACGTAACTTATAGAAAATCACAGAATATATTGTACATTTCCTATGTTTCAAAACCATCAAAAGCTAAGAGAGAGCGATTATCTCATATATAATATATAGCATAAAACAACTAATTAGGGAGATTGGGAAGACTGATTAATAGAAACAGATGGTAAACTATCCTCATAGTATATAAAACAATTCTCCATAAGCAAAATTAACAAGTGTAAAAGATCTTTTTATGTAAAAACTTATTCACTGAAGTAATATAAAAATCTGAGTAGTAGTAGTTTTTAATGGCTAAAAACTAACAAACAGGATGACTTGTCAAGTTTTGCACACAATGTTTCTTAGTAAAGATCTGTTGAATTCAATATTTATATCTATCAAAGGCTGGAAATGTAGCTCAGTACAAGAGTACTTGCCTAGCATGCAAGAGGACTGCTGTTTCAATCAGAACACTGCAAAAATTAAATAAATAAACAAACAGCATTTACACCTATTATGTGCTAGGCTCTTTCTATAAAATAGAAAGATGAATAACAACCAGATCCAACTCTCCAGTGGAAAAAAAAATGCAAACAAGAACAAATATGTCCAACACACTATACACTTTGAGTAGGCCTATAATAAAATCATTAAAATGCAATGAGAATATGAGGAAAGGAGAGATTAATTCCATGGACAAATATGTAAACTGCTTACTAATCCAGTTCAGCTAAGATTCCTGCTGTTTTTAACCATCAAAAATCTGTTTTTAATGTCTGGTATTTCTAACATCTATAATTAAGTTGGTATTTTAGAGCAGTTATAAAAATATACAAACCTAGATTAAAGGAACTAATTTTGTCCATGTCTATTCCTATTCAAATGGCAAAAGGAGCTAAAAATAACCACGAAATTTATAGATTACTCCTGAAATTTATAATTACTCATTACAAACAAGTTGTATGGAGGGATTCAATCTATTTGAAAGGAGAAATAAGTGCCATTCTGTCTGTAAAACTATGTCCAACAATGCATCGTAAAAAATTAACTCCACCTCCTTTAAATTTTAATAAAAATTTTTTCAACAGTTATTTTCCACATATGTAAATTAAACTGAATTCAAAAGAAACCTCTCAATTATACAATGAATGATGTTGGTGAAAGTTCCTACAAAATAATCTGAAAAATGTGTATACAAATATCACTGTTAATGATAGTGACCAACTAAAGATACCATAGGCAGAGGGCATATATGGTATATGGAAAATAAGTTAGTTTTGATAAAACGAATATGCCTCAAAAATATTTGCTTCATCGATGGATTATTTCAAGCATTACTGCTTGAGTTATCTACTAATATAAAAATTCTAAAAACATTTTTGCAGATTTGTCAAATGCAGCAACTTCAATGGTTAAGCAATTGCTTACTATGCATCAAGTTGATAAACAGTTGGAGACTAAATGTCATTAAAATTTTCTACAACAACTTTATATTTGAGCAGTTCCAGTGAGCATGTTAAATATATCCTAAACTGGCAAGTGTTTTAAGTTGGCATAATGTAAGTAAATGATACTGATACGAA